TTGTTCTTCAATTTTGTTTTTGTGCAGTTTGACCCTTAGACTTCGAATTTATTTATATAAGTCCTAAACTTCAATATCTCATCTTGCAATTACATCCTTGTATTTTAAAAGTTTCACAATTCCGTCCTTGACTTCAACAAACTTTTTATCCTTACCTTTAATATTTAAAACTAATACAAATTCCATACCAATATTAATATGAATTGCAATTAAAATTTCAAACTCTTTGTAGAGACATAAAAAGTAATAAAATCACTTAAATACTTCTGAAATTCTAGTTACCACGAAGATAAAAAATTTTAAAAATATGAAAATTTTTAACAGTGGAAACAATAGATTTTGTTTAATGATATTTAGTTTTATATTTCAAATATATATATATATATATAAACGTAAAAAATTTATCTTTTTTAAAAACTCAATACCGCATCATTTTTGAATTAGATATGACCCATATGGGTTACATTCCAAAGAAAGAAATGTTTCATGATTTTGACATCATCTGGAGCCACGGGTTAGACAATATGAGGTGTTTAGTATGATGTTGATGGAGCACAGCACTATCAAATTCCAATTCATGGCTCATGCATGTGCTCACTGCTGGATATCTACTCAAACCCTAAGGCATAGACCTTTTATTTTTAATTTTTTTTTCCTAGCCAAGATAGGGCCTGCGGGCCAACGTGGTAACAACATTGTTTTTTTTTTTCTTTGAACAGGGTAATTAGAGAAAATGAGAAATGAGATTCATAGAATTTGAACATCCACTCACAGAAATTAGATCCCCACTTACACCAAGGGTGAGGATGAAGGCCACTTGGCTGAGCGTGGGGTTATACAGTAACACCACTGTTAATACAATGTCATGACCATATCTACAACTATGTTTCTGTCGATGATTATCATGGGATGACATATTCTCTTTTGGAAATTATTCGGAATTAGTGAGTTATAATAAATAATTAATTAATCTCTATGTTAGATTTATAGTTCACTAAAAAAAAAAAGGGACTTTTAGAGATCAATTTACTGTCATTGATTTATTATTAACTACGGGACTACCATTGTAACTTTTTGTTGTTTCCTCTGTGTATAGAAGTTTTCAAGAATGGGATCATTTTACTGTCATTAAAAGTCCTAATCCCCTCCCCTCTTTGATTGTTTCCAACCAGCTGAGTTTTCCCAGTCGTGAGATGTATGCATGTTAATCCGTTCAATAACGGTGATTTCCTACCGCTAATAATTAATAACAAATACATACTGTAGTTATTAGATTAGCATTAATAACCAAGTATTACTATTATATGGATGCTTAGTAACAAAATTTCCTATAATTATATGAGTTGCTTATAGGCATGAGAAATACCATCATTATTTTGTCAAGTTAGTTATAAGATATTTCGTCCTTATTTAGTAAATCTAAAAAAAAAAATAAAAAAAAAATAAAAAAAGAGAAATTTGACAAATTTGCTCAAAAAATAATAATCTACCTCTATAGTATAAATTTAACACAATAATAATATAATCCATAATATGTGTTTATTTGAAGATAATAAATTCTTAATTACATCATATAGTTAAAGGTTGGAATAAAGAAATTAATTATCCATGAAAAGTTAAAAAAATATATAAAAAAGAACCCACTTTCCATAATGCTAACAATATTTCTATATACTTATACAAAAAGAACCAAATCTACCCAAAAAAAAAAAGACAAATTTTGATATCTTTGCACCAAAAGATACTAACAATCCATCCGTATGTTCCACCTAGAAATGAAAAAAGAAAAGATGAAACTAGGAAAGTACTAAGGCATGAAATATGTTAATCCAAGTAACCACATCATGCAAACAAAAATGATCAATACAAGCAAAAGAAATAACCCCCACATAAACCGTGTAGTCTCTTCCTCCTAATAATATGAACTATGTTTTTTTTTTTTTTTTTTTTGGAAAGGCCAGAGAAATTTTATTCGGTTCAAATACAAGAGGTACTCCAACTTGCACATGCACCTTCAACTATAATTGCACATGCAAAAATATTACCGGTAATATTCCATTCCAAAACACAGCAACAATCTAGTTTACAAGCCAACTATTTTAGCCCCCACCTTTCAATTTTCCCTTCCTGCCTACTAACTTTTTGATGCAATCCTCTGGCTTAGTGCACCATTCTGAAATAAAAAGGCCGCACTCCCCGCTTTCCCTGCAATCCAATGGAAAGATCTGGCTTGAACCAATCCTACACTGCCCTCCCCATCCACTTCTGCATTCTTGAAAATTTTTTCATTTCTAATTAACCATAATCTCCATACAACCATGAACCAAACTACATCCCATCCTAAACTCAATTTGTCTAATATTAAATGGTTGAGATTTTTATGCTCTTTATATTCTTAATATGGCATAGATCTGTAGTCAAGTTAGGAATTTTTCGAATAAAGAACCATTTAAGGAAGATTAAAAGAAAATAGATGAATTAAAACCATTCTAGAAAGTTGCATTAACATCAGCTATTGGATTACATATAGTCAATCTTAGGATACATGATCATATAAACAGAACACCACTTTCCAGCAAAACCAGAATTCAATTTCACTCAACTCTGCTTAGGCTTCCTCAATGACAAGGACTTCCTCGTTGATTCTAATAGCATCAAACTTAGGCCAGTATATTTCTATCCAACCTTTGATGAAAAGCATAAAGCTATCATTGTCCAAATGAGACGGCAGTGATAAACAAATCAGAAGATACTTATAACCAAGAACTATCTAACCTTAAACTAACTTTAGTATATAATTAGCAGAACAATAGATGTGTAAACATGCCTAACAGGCAGCGCTTTTGCTTACCTGATGCATGTTATCTCCAGCAACTGGGGGTTGTCATTCCTCTCATGCTTTCATTCTTGCTTCCATTGCTCCAAGACTTTCCTTAAGTCATTTTCTCCTTTAAGTACTTGATTTTCTCCTTCTCATTGGGTTTGGTCATAACTTAAGATTTCAAATATAATGGGTTCTTCAATTCTGTTGGTTTCATCCCACCCCCACGATTAATCATATTTGAATGATGTTGAGGAGGAAAAACATTTCTCGACAACCTCCATATTCGAGATAGGTGCCTCAGAACTCATAACCTCACAAATTTCTTCCTATAAAAAGAAAAAAAATTGCCATATATTTTTTTTTCTTGCTAAAGAAAAAAAATCAATTATAGAATTGAAATTTTGAGAGAATTTTTTCTTGATATAACTTCATCAACTAAATTGCCACATTAGAATGCATGACACAGCTAAAAGAATTATAAATAATAGCATCTAATTTAAGTATTACAAAGCATAAATGGTAGAATACATACATAGATTTGTGCTATTTTTGGTTCTATTTCTTTTGATCTACGCTTGCAGGTCCTAATGAACATGGTTGCCATGTTAGGTTCCTGGCTATCTTTTCCTACCTAAATCTACACTTATTTAAAAACAATATATAAAATGTGTATGGTAAGGATTCTCTTATATACAAGTCTTACATATTACACTTACACCAAGTCTCACACATTACGTTTACACAAAATCTAGATCATTCATCTCTCCATTTTCAATGGTTAAAATTCATCCACTTATTATCATATTTATTAAAGATAATTATATTTTCAATAGTTAAAATTTATCACGATTTTTTAAATAAAAATATAATTATCTTCAATAAATATGATAAAAAGTGAGTAGCTAACAATTGAAAGTGAAGAAAAGAATAATCAAGATTTTGTATAAGTGTAGCATGTAAGATTTATATCTAGGTGGATCCTAATTTATATATATATATATATAATATACCACATATTCATTCATCACTTAAATAATAGTCCTTAAACAGCCTCACCAAAATGCACAATCAATTTGTATAGAAACTGACCATCATTTCTCGCAACTGCAATTTGTAAATTTTTATCAACAACCTTTTTCCTTTTATGATAAGCTATCGACTATCAACTACCTTTTATGGATCATGGTTAACTTCACTATTAACTGATTTCTTTTGAAAAGCTCCAAGTTGATTGGCTAATCTAACACCTTTTCCATGAGAGTTAGCCAATGCTCCAAGAGCCATGAATTGCTTACTAGACCATAAATAAAAAATATACTAAATTTGTATATAAAAAAAAGAAAGGGAAAAAAAAATTGCAATTGAAATACATAAAACTGTCAACAAAAAGTAGGCATATTAAAACCATCACCAATAAACAAATTTAGATAAGCAAATTTCAAAACTTTTCAAGTATGTCGCAATAGCTTCAAGAAATCACTAACAGCAGAGTCTGAATCAAGAATAGAGACATCAGGGGCTACAAACTTCTTCGATATTTAACAAGCAAATCTGCTTTCCTTGGCTCATAATAGTCCATGGGAACTCCATCTATAAAAAGCTTGAGAGTAGGAAATCCACTGCAAAATTAACATTAGATTATAATTATCAGCTACCATTCTTCCTAGCACGTTAGGAGTAGTTGAAATAAATCATTCATATAATATAATTCCAGATAAAAGCATCAGTGGAAAAGCAAACTGCATTGAGTAAAAATAAGTGTAAACATGATTAGTTCATATGCTTTGGAATTCTGCATTGTGACTACTACCATACTTTAAACACAGATCTAAAGTCGTAAAAGCGGCATCTTTTTGCATCTTTATACTAGCCAAAATGCAGTAGACATTTATTTGTAAATCCAGCATAAGAGAAAAAAGGCAATAAATGCTTAATTTAATATTTACTAGCAAGCCGAGTAAACTAGTCAGCATTTACTTCTGCTATCACTATGAGCTCCTTTAAACCAGCAAGAACTGGAGTGGCCTCATCTAAATGCAATTCAGCCATAGAGCTGTCACTTTGCCATAGACAAACCATGTATCGCATCGCAGTTATTGATTTCAGGTCAAAATATCTTAAAAATAAATGATCTTCTGGATCTAAAACTTAAATTAATGAAGAAATAAAGGAGCTAGTGTGAAGTTTGCAGTGGCCACACCAGGGAGAGTAGAAATCAACTAAGAACCAATGCAATGGCAACTGGAATAAAAGTCAATGAAACTTTACAGGTTTTCAACTCCTAAAAATGTCAGAAAAAATAAAAGAAAGTGAGAAACAAGTCACTCTTTTCAAATTTATGTCATAGAAGGAAACATACTATAGTAAATCATATACAGCAACAAAAGGCAGCCTTAGCTTCATTCATTTTTTGAATCTAACAACAGAGCACAGATAAAAATGACAAAGCAGGAACAATTTCATTAATGCATATTAGTGAACATCATTAATGAGTTTCAACATTGTAGTGAACACAAGATGGGAATGAGTATGAGAATAGCAAAGTTACTAAGGATCAATCTTATGTAGGACCATCATCAAAAAGAGCTTTATAAAACCGTTTCCTCTCCTCTGGGTTAAATAAACCTCCCAACTTATCACCATTATTGTCTTCTTGATCAGATGTTTCAGCATTTGCTTCTTTCTTCCTCCTCTGTGGCTTTGTAGAAAGCATACCCTTCTTCTTCTTTTCCAAATTCATTAAATGTCGCCTCCTGTTATATTCATGAAGACCCTTCTCCATTAGTACCCCAAATTTGTCCTTCACAACAACAAGTGGATCTTTGTCAATTAATTCCGACCCATCGTAACTTTCCCTTAGCAATACGGTATAAATTTGGTACTTATTTGAAACATAAAATATTCCAGGGTGCTTGAGTAACAAAACATTTAATTTCTCTGGCAGAGCAAATTCTCTCTTAAAATGGCCTAACTTCTCAATAGATAGTTTCTTCCATAGAGTTAATGACAATAACTCATGCACAATTCCAACTGTTCTCTTTTCCAGTTCCTTTGATCCCTTCTCCAAACCTGTAGAATTTAAATATGGTGAAATATAGGGAGTTGCATTGAATTCATTTAACCTCTCCCAAGATTTTACCCAAGTTGAAGGCAACGAACATGAAAAACAAGGCGCAGATCCCTGCTTCTGAGCTGAGGCTTCAACTGCAGAAACTGCTAAGTCAGGGTTCCATGATAGAAGTTCAATCTCCATTGAACTCTTCCTTCCGCTATAATTAACAAGTCGAAACATGTCTGGATGTTTTGGTGCAATTCTAATCACATAATCATCTGGAAATCCAAAACTTCGCTTTAGCTCATTAAGTTTTACAATATTGAGCCTTTGGTTCACACTCATCATTAACAACTTTGTCAATCTCTGCACATATATAGGCTCCTGCATATCTTTGACAGATTCTTCCTCTTCAACCAAATTCATCATTTGTTTTGTTAACCCACAATAATACTCATCATTCTCAAGATGAACTTCAAAGCAACATGGATACTTTTTGAGCCAATTGAGAGCTTTGCCTTGGAGATCTAGACTCTTAAACTTCTTTTGGATATACTTCACAGAAGCCATTTGGTTTGGGCATCTAAGTATTATGTTCTTTAACTGATTATTGACTATCCACCGACGATTTCGTGAGAGGGCTGATTCAAGATCCACATCCTTCTTCATTGACCAAAGAGAGAAGCATCGAAGATGACAAACATGATAAGGTAGAGAGAATGACCCTGCATTGCAATTTATTAGCCTCCGCAACAGTCTTTTATCCATCAATGTATCCCAATTGGGGTATCTCTTGTTTCATAAAATGAACCTGTTAAGATAGAATAGAAACTATCATGAGAAATGCAAATTTGAAATGCAAAATAAAAATTGAATTTGCAATGAATTTAGCATCACAGTCACAAATGAAATAATAATTCAGGCAAATATTTAGAGACTAAATAAATAAGTAAAAGAACTACCCCTAAATAACCTGAGGCTTTTACAAAGGTGAAGGAACACACTAGAAATTATAAACATACTCAAACTATTTAAACCAACGTTCTAACTCCAACTTCATTTTTCTAGCTATTAAAAAGTCCTTTCCTAATATTTAAAGCCAGAACGTACAATTCAATTTGCACCTAGAAGAGAACTGAACTGGACTGTATGCTCAACAGACAAATTGTAGCCCTATTTCTTAGATTTCTATAGAATCAAGAATTGCCTTAATCCAACATCTACAAAAGAAGTTACAGCCAAAATACTACAACAACGTTATGCTACCAAAATTCTGGTACAACCGTGCAACAAATTAGCAACTTAAACTTTCTTAAACATTTAAGAAGAAAAACAATAGCCACGAGAGGGAAGAAAGATGCTGAATTCAAGGTTGCTGCCAGGGTGTTTTGAAGTAGAAAATAGCAGCCACATGAACATAAAACTCTAGGCCGTTTTTTGGCTGTATAATTCCTGATTAAATGCAGGATAGCTTGCACAAATGCTGTTTTTATAGAGCCTATAAAAACCTAGCAAATTGAACAACCACTTACTAGGTAAAAACAGTGCAGACTTTAACTAAAATTTTAGAGTAGAAATTGGCGGAAAAGAGACCAAAATAAACAGCAACCTAAATATACTAGAAAGAGTGCAGAATTTTGCAAGAACTTATGCAAATTTACAGCATTCAACCGAGCATCTATGCAGATTCAAAAACAGCAGAAATGTGACCTTTTAAGGAGTAAACTAGGCTGAAACCAAGACAGGTTCCATGAGCTTATCATGGCAGAAACTCGCATACACAGCCCGGCATTTTTGGAATCTTTTTGCAGCAAAATAATGCAGGGAACATGACAGAAACCAAAGTAGATAGAGCAGCAAAATAGCGCAACCAAAACAAGAGGTTTCAAGATAGAATACAGTGGAGATTCCATGAATAAGTCAGAACCGAACATTTGATTAAAAGAAGCTAGAAAGTCACCAATTAATAGCAGAAACCGAAGCCTCAAAGCTACTCAAAATTTTGTAGAACATCAACCATGAAAACCATAGCCTGCCCGGGTGGTTAATCAATTGAGGGTAAGAATTGAATACAAAACAGTGTAAAGAGTAAGGAATTCTACCAATTTCGGGAGGGATTTGATGTCGGGAAGAGAGGAGAAGATTGGACTCTCAAAGGGAAGAGGAGACGTGGCTGCAGAAGGGTAGAAATCTGGTTATTAGTTGTAAAAATCTAATAACCAAAAATTTGGTCAAATTTTCAGTTATGGTCCTAGCCGAACCTGCCGTGTCCACCCCTACTTAAATAATTAAATAAGGAATTAATTTGTATTTTAAGAGTATAGATTAAAAAAGTATTAATTGTATTCTTAGGTACAGGTTAAAGTGTACAAAAATACAATTTAGTGTGTTCCTTCACCTTTGTAAAAGCCTCAAATTATTTAGGGGAGTTCTTTTACTTATTTATTTATTTAGTCTCTAAACATTTGCCTGAATTATTATTTCATATGTGACTGTAATGTTAAATTCATTGCAAAATGGATTTTTATTTTGCATTTCAAACTTGCATTTCTCATGATAGTTTCTATTCTCTCTTAACAGGTTCATTTTATGAAACAAGAGATACCCCAATTGGGATACATTGATGGATAAAAGACTGTTGCAGAGACTAATAAATTGCAATGCAGGGTCATTCTCTCTACCTTATCATGTTTATCATCTTCGATGCTTCTCTCGTTGGCCAATGAAGAAGGATGTGGATCTTGAATCAGCCCTCTCATGAAATTGTCTGTCGATAGTCAATAATCAGTTAAAGAACATAATACTTAGATGCCCAAATCAAATGGCTACTGTAAAGTATATCCAAAAGAAGTTTAAGTGTCTGGATCTCCAAGGCAAAGCTCTCAATTGGCTCAAAAAGGATCCATGTTGCTTTGAAGTTCACCTTGATGATGAGTATTACTGTGGATTAACAAAACAAATGATGAATTTGGTTGAAGAGGAAGAATCTGTCAAAGATATGCAGTAGCCTATATATGTGCAGAGATTGGAAAAGGTATCAATGATGAGCGTGAACCAAAGGCTCAACATTGTAAAACTTAATGAGCTAAAGTGAAAGTTTTGGATTTCCAGATGATTATGTGATTAGAATTGCACCAAAACATCCAGACATGTTTCAACTTGTTAATTATAGCGGAAGAAAGAGTTTAATGGAGATTGAGCTTCTATCATGGAACCCTGACTTAGCAGTTTCTGCAGTTGAAGCCTCAGCTCAGAAGCAGGGATCTGAGCCTTGTTTTTCATGTTCATTGCCTTCGACTTGGGTAAAATCTTGGGAGAGGTTAAATGTATTCAATGCAACTCCCTATATTTCACCATATTTAAATTCTACAGGTTTGGAGAAGGGATCAAAGGAACTGGAAAAGAGAACAGTTGGAATTGTGCGTGAGTTATTGTCATTAACTGTATGGAAGAAACTATCTATTGCGAAGTTAGGCCATTTTAAGAGAGAATTTGCTCTGCCAAAGAAATTAAATGTTTTGTTACTCAAGCACCCTAGGATATTTTATGTTTCAAATATGCACCAAATTTATACGGTACTGCTAAGAGAAAGTTACAATGGGTCAAAACTAATTGATAAAGATCCACTTGTTGTGAAGGACAAATTTGGGGCACTAATGGAGAAGGTCTTCATGAATATAACAGGAGGTGACATTTAATGAATTTGGAAAAGAAGAAGAGAAGGGAATACTTTCTATAAAGCCACCGAGGAAGAAAGAAGCAAGTGCTGAAACATCTGATCAAGAGACAATAATGATGATAAGTTGGGAGGTTTATTTGACCCAGAAGAGAGGAAACAGTTTTATGAAGCTCTTTTTGATGATGGTGCTACATAAGATTGATCCTTAGTAACTTTGTTATTCTCATATTCATTCCCATCTTGTGTTCACTACACCGTTGAAACTCATTAATGAAATTGATATTCTTTAATGATGTTCACTGATATTCATTAATGAAATTGTTCTGCTTTGTCATTTTTATCTGTGCTCTGTTGTTAGATTCAAAAAATGAATGAAGCAAAGGCTGCCTTTTGTTGCTGTATATGATTTACCATAGCATGTTTCCTTCTATGACATAAATTTGAAAAGAGTGACTTGTTTCTCACTTTCTTGTATTTTTTATGACATTTTTAGGAGTTGAAAACCTGTAAAGTTTCATTGACTTTTATTCCAGTTGCCATTGCATTGGTTCCTAGTTGATTTCTACGCTCCCTGGTGTGGCCACTGTGAACTTCACACTCCTCAGGTGCATCTCTTATCTTCATTTCTTCATTAATTTAAGTTTTAGATCCAGAAGATCATTTATTTTAAAGATATTTTGACCTGAAATCAATAACTACGATGCAATATGTGGTTTGTCTATGGCAAAGTGACAGTAACAAAGTGGCAGCTCTATGGTTGAATTGCATTTAGATGAGGCCACTCCAGTTCTTGCTGGTTTAAAGGAGCTCAAAGTGATAGCAAAAGTAAATGCTGACTAGTTTACTCAGCTTGCTAGTAAATATTAAATTAAGCATTTATAGCCTTTTTTCTCTTATGCTGGATTTACAAATAAATGTCTACTGCATTTTGGCTAGTATAAAGATGCAAAAGGATGCAGCTTTTAAGACTTTAGATCTGTGTTTAAAGTATTGTAGTAGTCACAATGCAGAATTCCAAAGCATATGAACTAATCATGTTTACACTTATTTTTACTCAATGTAGTTTGCTTTTCCACTGATGCTTTTATCCAAAATTATATTATATGAATGATTTATTTCAACCACTCCTAATGTGCTAGGAAGAATAATAGCTGATAATTATAATCTAATGCTAATTTTGCAGTGGATTTCCTACTCTCAAGCTTTTTATAGATGGAGTTCCTATAGACTATTATATGAATGATTAGTAAAGGATAAAACCAGAAATAAATTAGCAAAGAATACAGAAATTTCATTCTCAAATTTGAATAGCATATCAAATAATTCCAGAGATGGATGGCTAAGAAGAAACTAGGTGTTCACTGACACTATTACACTAGTATAATTCCAGTTAGGATTACATGATGATAAATTTGAAATAATGTTTCTATATTTATGCAGACTAATTAGAAAAGCCTGAAGTTCAAGAAAAAAGAACTTAAATGGTAATCCCCCAAAGACTCTTCCTCCTTCATGCTATATTTATGCATTATGAGGTTGTTTTTTGAAAGTGTAAACATTTCTTCTGTTTCACCTTTATTGTAAATGAGTTTGTATTTGTCAATATCCTTTTCTACCTAATATTGTGTTTCTTTGTGCACATGTATTGTGCTCTATACATAAGTATGTCCACTGAGTGAGTACATGAGATAAGCAGAGATATATACATGAGTCATAGGAATGGAATATTTTGAGTTTAATTTAGTTTCCAATTGAAATATCAGTTTTGAAAGGAAAAGTAAACAATATTACATTACAGTTTATTTTGGATTTAGTTTGATTTAACCAGCATTCACTTAAACTGCTTGTTTCTATGTTTCAATCTTAACGTGCCGAGAACAAAGTTCCAAGGAAATATATTGAACTTTCTCCAACACCACAGATTCAATCTTCTAGATGGCCTAATATCACAAGATAAGAGGAACGCTGAAGCAGATTTAGAGGATCATTATCCAAATTTTGAGAAGAATTGAACTACCAGCATGTTAAATGGCAGTATCTCACTGTGTAAGCACAAAAATGCAAACAATGATCTTATATGAAGGAAAA